AAATGACTAATACAATTCTGTTTTAGTGAAGTGTAATACAAAGGCAAAGGAAATCGGTATTAATCAACCTTTTACAAGCCGAGTTAAAATTTCTTATTTTTTGTAAAATTTACTTAATTCCACATTCCAAGTAAATTTAACTTAAAGATTTCTAATTAAAGCTACTGATAAATATGTTTAGGTTTTTACTTGGCAAATCTTTGTAAATTTACTAGCATTTTCTGAGTGAGATCGTTTAGCAAGGTTTTTTCAAGTAAATCCTACTCCAAATTTTTTACAGTGTACTCCACTTTTTTTGGAAATAGGCTCATTTTACAACTCCCTCAGAGTTAAATAGTTGAGTTTTGCCGTTTTCCAAAACATTCAGCCGATTTTCTGATATTTAGAAGAATATCAGTAACCAGACAGTTTCTGGTCTCATTGACTTCTTCCATAGTAGGAAAAAATATATACTATGGGAGTCAATGAGACCAGAAACTGTCTGGTTACTGATATTCTTCTAAATATCAGAAAATCGGCTGAATGGATTTGAAAACGGTAAAACACAACTGTTTAACTCTGGGGGAGTGGTAAAATGAGCCTATTTCCAAAAAAAAAGTGGAGTATCCCTTTAAGACCAGTGTTAGGGAGTAACAAACTAAACTAAACAAACCAACCAAACCTTTGTCCTAACCAGACGCGATGTGGCGACATGCGATAAAGGGTATATTGTCCATGTTAATTCAGAGATTTTGACACGACAGGGGCATTGGATTCTATTAAAAAAACAATTTCGGCAACATAGCGGCTGAAACAACAACATACAATGAAGTTGATCATCTCAGGTACTGATTATGTGCTTTAATTAATCTTAAAAGTGTCTAGTATGAGTATAAACATCATTTTGCATGATCTTTATAGCCATTCTGACGGTAAAAATAAATTAAACTGTGAATTCAATGTGAACAACACAGCTTCAATGAAGTTTGCTTCTTTTTGTTAGTAGCTTGTAGTGTAGCTAACTATTTTAAAATGGTAACTTGACTATAGGTTAACTTGTAGCTTGGAACGTTTACAGATACAAAGTGGCTTCCTCACACTGTGTACTAATATTTAATTTCAGCTATTTTATATCAACAACTTCCCACCTTAACGTTCTAATTAAACAACAAGTTTTCAGCTAAAGTGGTCAGACAAGAATATGCGTTCTAGAATAATTATTACCATTCAGTAAATGACTATTTACAGCTCAAAGAGTGTGAACAACACAAAACATCAGGGAGGAATTTGAAAGCATGTTTATCAGAGTTAAACAGCAGGGACTGTATTGACCTTGATGTAAGCTAGCTTGATTGGGCTATCGGCAGACAGGCTCAGGGTCAGCTTTGTTATGGCTTCCTTAGTTATGTGTAGCAACGACCACGATGTACTGCGAAGGCCATTTTGCGTCAAGAAACCCAAACAATGATGCGACTGATCTCATAACAGGGAACAAATATGCCTGAGGTCAAGTTCAATTCAAGATTGTATTTTGTGCTAATTTTTTGGCTAAATGCTAATGACTGTGTATTTCAGACTAGCGGTTGAAAGACAGGTTTTTTTTTAATTACAAACCCTGCAGGAAAAAAACTGTGTAACCTAAGGTGTTTAGCTGATCTCCCAGCCTGACAAAGCTGGTTAGACAGGTCTTTTATTTGGATAGTTTTAACCAGATAAACCGGGCAAGACCAGCAAACTAACCTAGGCTGCCGATAAACCCCCAAAATTTGAGAAAACAAAAAGTAAAAAGGCTGGTAGTCGATCATTTCAGTCAATCAGAAAGTCATCATTTTGCAATTATTTTGCCGAATGAATCCCTAAAATTCAGAGAACATCTTAAAAGCGCTAACTGGGGAGCATTCATGAGAAGCAGAAAATATCAAAATATAGAAGCTGTCCGGAGGCTATCCCTGGTCATTCCACTTTAAACTCTGAAAATAATAGAGACACTGTTTCCCTTTCCAAAGCACAACAACATATTAAGGATTATTGTGTACCAGGGCAAGGATGAGTGAGCAAGAGAGTAAAGAAATGGCAGAGAGGGGTAAGAGAAGAAGGGGAGCCGATGATGGGGTCATTTCATTTTGCCCTACATTCAGATGCTCAAATAACAGCTAATACACTCGCCAACCATTTCACCATCACACACTGATCATTGCATAGTTCAGTTTTAGTGCTGTTAATAAGGTTAAAAAGCAATAGTAATTTCTTTTTAAAAATATATTTCGTATCAGTGCCCCTATTATACTTTAATTAGCTTTCATGTAGTGTGTAATATAGTTGTTTGTGACTGTAAAAGGTCTGCAAAGATTCAAAGATCAAAGTGCTTGATACGTGGAGTTATTGTCTCCCAAAAGAAAGAAGCGATCCGGAACTGCCTGAAACGAGTCGTCAGTAATTCCAGGCTCACTTCCTGCATGAACACACATAGGTTTGTAACATATTTGCATCATATTTGCATAATCCCAGCCTACGGTCTTCATTGTCTGTTTGCAAACAACGTCTACTTTGACCCTCCATTACTGTAGTGCCTGAGGCCTGGAAGAGGTTCGGGTTGTCGACATGTCAAGAAGACGCTGTTTTCTTAGCTGCGAAAGCAAATCTACTTTGCATGCACTTCCAAGGTATGAGACTTTGGAAGTTTTTAATCAGTGTGAATCAAATGTTGAGGAAACCTCTGCAGCTGAAATTCAGATATGGTAATGGACATTTGATTTCAACAGACTGGGTCATCTGACCAATCAGAGTGAAGTTTGACCAATCACAACAGACTGGGTCATCTAACCAAAGAGCGAAGTTTGACCAATTACAACAGACTGGGTCATCTGACCAAAGAGCGAAGTTTGACCAATCACACCAATCAGAGCGAAGTTTGACCAATCACAACAGACTGGGTCATCTAACCAAAGAGCGAAGTTTGACCAATCACACCAATCAGAGCGAAGTTTGACCAATCACAACAGACTGGGCCATCTGACCAATCAGAGCGATGTTTGACCAATCACAACAGACTGGGCCATCTGACCAATCAGAGCGAAGTTTGACCAATCCCAACAGACTGGGTCATCTGACCAAAGAGCGAAGTTTGACCAATCACAACAGACTGGGTCATCTGATCAAAGAGCGAAGTTTGACCAATCACACCAATCAGAGCGAAGTTTGACCAATCACAACAGACTGGGCCATCTGACTAATCAGAGCGAAGTTTGACCAATCACAACAGACTGGGCCATCTGACCAATCAGAGCGAAGTTTGACCAATCACAACAGACTGGGTCATCTGACCAAAGAGCGAAGTTTGACCAATCACAACAGACTGGGCCATCTGACTAATCAGAGCGAAGTTTGACCAATCACAACAACAGACTGGGCCATCTGACCAATCAGAGCGAAGTTTGACCAATCACAACAGACTGGGTCATCTGATCAAAGAGCGAAGCTTGACCAATCACAACAGACTGGGCCATCTGACCAATCAGAGCGAAGTTTGACCAATCACAACAGACTGGGTCATCTGACCAAAGAGCGAAGTTTGACCAATCACACCAATCAGAGCGAAGTTTGACCAATCACAACAGACTGGGCCATCTGACCAATCAGAGCGAAGTTTGACCAATCACAACAGACTGCGCCATCTGACCAATCAGAGCGAAGTTTGACCAATCACAACAGACTAAGTCATCTGACCGAAGAGCGAAGTTTGACCAATCACAACAGACTGGGTCATCTGATCAAAGAGCGAAGTTTGACCAATCACAACAGACTGGGTCATCCGACCAAAGAGCGAAGTTTGACCAATCACAACAGACCGGGCCATCTGACCAATCAGAGCGAAGTTTGACCAATCACAACAGACTGGGTCATCTGACCAATCAGAGCGAAGTTTGACCAATCACAACAGACTGGGCCATCTGACCAATCAGAGCAGAGTCGGAGAGGTCTGAGAGCACACTCAGAAAGGAGAGGTTTGGAGAGACCGGATCTTTTGTCGAACAGTTTCGAGAAAAGGGGAGATGCTGAAATGTATATTATGAGAAAATGTAAGTATTTTTTGAGCTTGTTGGATGTATGTGTAACCGGTTGTAAAAGACCTCCAAAACATAATTAGGAGCCTTTAAAATACCACAATAAGGGCACCTAACAGACTTTATAAAGATCTTAAGATGTTTCCTGTGGGATAGACTGTGGGATAAAGTTCACAAACCCATGAAAAATCCATGAAAACAGTTTGAATAGTCTGTTTTACAGTTTTCATGGAAATATATTAAGAATGTCAAGACGAAATAGAGTTTGCCACCCATTTATCTTTTGTAGTATGACATTTTAATTTTATTTTTACATTTGTAAGATATCGGAACAAATCTGAATATTCAGCATGAAAAAAAAAACGTGTAGGTGAAAAACATACGGCTAATACAGTTAGTGTGTAGCATGCTGATCAGGACTCTGAGCTGAAGCAGAGGTTTATGCGATAATGAACAGCTCACTGTAGCTCCCCATTATTACTCAGCTACTTAGCAAATAAATAAATGGACATAAAATATTGATTTAAATTAAAATTATTTTATTATATGAGAGATACGAGAGACATTAAACTAACACAGCCACTATGTAGGAAATTGGCTGCCTGGGACAAGTTGTTTATCGCTCATTATACCGCAGAGTGCTGTAATTGACCAATCAGAATAAAGTATTGTTTTTGCCGCACTTGCACCCTTGGTTATCAGAAAAGAAAACTAATTTCAAAGGCAGAGAAGGTTATTCAATTTTAATAACAGATAATGAAAACACATTAGACATGAATCGCGAACACCGACATTTAATAAGAAAGCAAGCAGGGACAGCTTTGATTTCATGTGGTCTTTAAATCATGTAATCCTTCACATGAATAATTCAACAAAAAGGCCAATTTAAATCATCTGAAAATGAAAATGAAAGTGTCTAGACTGTTAATGGAAGTGATGTTGATGAACGGACAGTACCTGTGGATGGAGTGGAACTGCTCATGGTAGTACAGCAACACGAGGAGGCGGAAACAGGAGGCTCTCCAGATGCCCACTGAAACACACAAATATAAAAGTCTTCGTCAAAACGAGTCAACGTGGGAACCAGAGAAACCACCAAAAACACCACGTATTACACCCTTATATTCAAAACTTGGCCGTAAATGTTTAGCGATACTGAATTCCAACCTGTACAATCAACCATATTTAAGTGATGATTATATTACAAAAAATGGAATGTATTCAAATGCATTCCAAAACTAAATGCTTCACTGAATACTTCTGTCATCGGCATACATGGATGGTGACATTATCCATTCAAAATCGAACACAGACCGTCATGGGTACGGAAAACCGATCGAAAGGCCCTGTGCCGTATCAAAGGACTGCTTTTTCAGTCCAGAAGGGAAATTTCAGCAGCACATCAATTCCTTGAGGACGGAGTCTAACAAGCACACAAATGCATCCATTAGCCGCAAATTGTTTGTGAGGTGAGCAGATCAAGAATACAATCTATTCAGCTACAAGATGGCTGACACGTGATCCTGCCCTCAGATACTGTAGCCAGACTCTAGAGCACAGCATTACATGAGTGTTTAGCGCTGCATAATGCTTACACTGCCTCATTTTGGATCAAAAATGAAACGACGGTCATGCCTAGAATCTCTTTGAATTTTAACCTAGATTTCTTCACAATGGCCCATGAAAACCTCCATGTACAGGGATGTATCTAACTTTTATTAAGTGCAGGACATGTTTTGTGCATCCATGCAGGCAGATTGAAAATTATTCAGAGTGAAATTATTCAGGAAAATGGATCTGGAGTTGCCCAGCCCTGCTCTAAAGGAAGCGTGTCCATTCGTGTCGTGTTTCCTATACAGCTCAGGGAATCACGCTGTAATTGTCTTCCTCCTCAGTTTCTAATTTTAGAGCTTTTTTGTGACTGTGTTGAATTTCTCGTGCTAGACGATAAAGAATGTGCAGAATTTAGACATATTATGTTTAGTCTACTTATTAAAAAACAAAACTAGTTTTGGGCATTTCAAAAGTTATTTAAATATGTGTTGTTTTAGTATACTTTATTTTTTTAATATACTTTAAGTATATTTTATATACTTTTTAATTTTTGTTTCTTTTAATACTTTAAATTACCTTTTATTTTTATTTTCATTTCAGTTTTATTTTTTATATTTCTATTTAGATTTATTTATTTATTTTTTTACTACTTCTGCTTCAACATTTTTTCCCCCCATCTAATATTTAGATTTAATTTTACTTTATTTATTAAATAGAATTTCTTTAACACTGGTATAAACAAAGCAAATTTCTTCCCATATTAACTAACGTTTAATCAAATCATTATCATGATCACTTACTTAATAAGTTATTTGGGGGGTCAAACTGTACAGTATGGGATTAATATCCCGTCAAGAGTATTGTGGTCACGGATCAAAAAATAATTATCGTGAATCAAATATTTAAAAACACATGATTTTTTTTTTATCCTTGAATTTGATTGGCCGAGCAGACCTTTAAGAGTGCTTATATTTAGTTTAACAACATTGGGATGATGTTTCACTGCATCCCTCTCTGTTCCTGATAGTTCTCAGCAGAGATTACGGACGGTGGAGAGTGTGGGAAGTAGAGTGTGTGATATTATCAAAAAAAGCATTTGCGTTTTATCTAATTCCATTATCACTCATCATAGGTTTCTCTGGTGATGGGAAAGAAATGGAAAACCCGGAGTGGAGCGGGAACGAATTAATTACAGAAGGCTTTCAGCGGGAAAGCAAAATGCATTTTGCTCCACTCATATACTCTATTCCGTCTTTTTGTGTTGCCCGACAAAACATAACTCTCCTTTTTTCTGTTGAAACTATTCTCATTGGCAGATTAAAAACGTACAAAATAACGGGTGGAATTTTGCGACTGAATATCTGTTGAGCTGTGGTTCGGTCTTACACAACTTCTACTGTGATTTTGCTTTAAGTTATGAAAAAGAAACCGACCTCATTTACATACCAACACTGTCTGTGCTATTCCCCAGTAGTTTTCGCATACAAAAAAAATTAACCAATCACAACATAGGTCATTTGCATTTAAAAGCCTTAAAGGTACAGAAGCAAGATATGCCTTATGCTATATTCATTGAACTATGATATTGAAAATAAGTTTCCCTTTCCAAAAATGTTTACAATATTTTCTTATTTTGCTAAAAAATACATGGATTTCCCAGTCAGGCGCCACACTGGGTCAATGGATCAGACAATAGATTTGTTGCCCGTTGAAGAAATTACAAGGAAACAGCATTCAAGACTGCAAGAGCTCCAACCCACATGGGCCTTAGTATTAAATTATATAGACTATACAATTATCAACTTAAATTGAATAATGGATAACACCCACAGACTGTGTAGCTTCTTCGTTCCTTAACAAAACTACAACGGAGTTTGCTCCAAGAAGCCTGGAATAACATTTTATTCAGACTTGAGGGCAAAAATAAACTGCTACCAAAGGTCACAGACATGGCCTGCTGGGAAGAGCAAGAGCTCCGACATGTTGTGTACGTGGGAGATGTTTAGTCCGAATATCCAGGTTGGGTCATTACCCACTCCGATTCATCCACCCACCCACCCATGTTTCCGGTCTGCTCTCTCACAGTCAAAATCAGTAAAATCCCCAAAAATAAACAACCAAAAATGGATATGTGGCCTATGTACCAAATGAACAAAAGGTTTTTGGGATCCAAACACAAATGTTAAAGGGTTAGTTCACCCAAAAAGAAAAATTCTGTCAGTAAATGAATATTCTGTCAGAATACGCACAAAAACTATTGCCGTTGCTTGATAAACTTAAGATTGAGCCACTGTAGTCACTTGGACTATTTTAACGATGTCTTTAATAACTTTGAGTCCGGCAAGTTTCAATCCCTCAAGAAGCCTATGGACTAGTATGGGGGAGTGATCCAGCTCTCAGATTTCATCAAAAATATCTTAATTTGTGTTCCAAAGATGAACAAAGGTCTTATGGGGTTTAAACAACATGAGGGTGAGTAAATACTGACAGAATTTTCATTTTTGGGTGAACTAACCCTTTAACTAAAGTCTCATGTGTATAGAAAAAATAACTGAACCAATTCAGAAACATAAACTGCAGTCATCCAGACATTCGAGATCCACCTCCAATATAGATGAGATGACGCAGTAAGTAGTTATTGGTAAAAACGAGATCACGCACAGGGTCATTCATGACACACACACACAGCAGGTACGAGTTCAGCACAGCGCTTGTGTTATTCAACTCAGCCAGGTGTTGTTGTAAGGGAGAGCTGGCTTCACAGGCGGAGCCACTGCGACGCTGTCTCCCTATTGGATCATGATTGTCCCCTCAGCCTACCAACACAAAGCCTATCTTCGATTTTTTTTTAGATGAAATTCAAATGAGCCCAGGCAGAGTATGAATATGCAAAAAAAGGCACAAAAACGATAGAATCTCTTTACCCTTTACAGCTAAGCCTCTCTCTGATGCATGTGACATTTTGTGCACGGAGATGGGCTAGGAGTGATGAAACACGACACTGATGTTCAGCGCCCGAGTCATAACTGGCATTTCTCTGAACACGCCCTCTGAGAGCCGGGACAGGTCACGGGTCACGCCCTCACCGGCAACACGTCAGCACCGGCCGCCAACTCCACCACACCATTTTCCCACTTCCCATCATTATAGCGGAGTGTCTTTAATTAGTTGAGGGCAGAGAGGTGGGGGGGGGGGGGGGGGGTCTGATTGCAATTATATCCTTTCATTGGCATTCTCCCATCAGCCTCAAATTCCATATGAAAACTGGAATGCTACTCATTATAGAAACAAACAATTTTGACTTTCGATAATGTCCAAAAGTATATGTGAGTATTTGATCGTCAGATATTTTTAGACTGGATATCGTTAATAGTCACTGTATATACTTGATGTGATATAAACAGAGCTCCCTCGTACATCAAAGGCTGTCAAGGATCTGTACACGCTTCAGCCTCAAATGAAATACAATAAATAACTACTCATACTTTGCACTGAGGAAAAAATCCATTTTCAACCTCATTAAGATCTGTTGCATTATGTTTTCCATCATTTTTTATGACAATTAGGCACATCTCCCTCCAGTAGTCATTACCGTAACGCAAAACACTCATTACTTTAATGTCACCTACGTCAGCCAACTACATCATTTTATCCTGGTGATATATTTAATCAGCAGAATTCACAATAATTAACAAAAACAAAACAAAAAAACAATATTTAATACTTGACAGAAAACCAAATGTTTAATTTAGCAAAGAACATACTCGTGTAAACCCCACCTCACGAGGCATAAACATCTGTATATCAATGGATGTAAGATTCGTACATGATCAGGTCTGTTCACTCCAGGAAAATAAACACAGAGAAACAATATAACTGGAATCACAATCAGAACTAATTTCCAGCTGACGAACGATAAAACCACCCGTCAGCCAATCAGAGTCTGCATGTGCATTTAAAGCAACAGACGACAAAATTGCGACGTGTGCTTATAATAAACTGAAAAATTAGTATCAGTGCATATCAATGTATTGTTATTTTTTTAGTTAATTCACATTTTTTGGTGTGAACCAAGTGTGCCGTGCATGTCCCGGGAAATTTAAGCCAAACATCTCGATCGCCCCCCTGGTGGCAGGCTGCAGTATAGCTTCGCCCTCTCCATGTAATCCAATGGGACGCGGGCCAAACTCAACAATGCTTCTAAAACATTTTTCTTGAGTGAAAGGAAGATATTTTTTTTACCATCTATATTATGAACGGGCCCTAACACTGGCCTGATACAACTGGCCCCAAACTGTGCCATCCCTAATGGTCATCCCTAATAAAAATTTGGAATCATTACGATAATGAGAATATGGAGAGATAACGGGTGTCGTTTTCATGAATAAAATGTCATAAATAGGCTTCATTTGAATATTATTATTATTATTATTATTTTACTATTATGATTTTGGGGGGAAATGTGACCTGAACGTGTTC